GGGTCGCTGGCAATTCGAATGGGATCGAACGGGTTGAGAGTCGCCTGAATCGATCCTGTGGAGGCTTTGCAGTTTATTCATCCTGCATACGTGCTACAGCCCACACTGCGTCGCATCCCTGCGCCGGAAGAGAGCTTTTGGCGGAAACTGTGGGTCAGATCCCAAGTATGTTTGTGTTTGTTCACGTTTGCGCAGAAAAGACTGAGCACTATTTGGAAAATGCAAGAGCAGGCACCGTGCAGAGCGGAATATTAGTTGATATGGGATTCTTTAGGTCTATATAGGTGTGTTTAATTGTTGTTATGTGAGTTTCAAGTAGTTTCAACATGTTTTGGCACCAAAACAGTTCAATGCTCGGCCCAACCATATATTGACTCATGAGAGTTTGAAGAGGGTCAGTATTGGGTACAAGCACATCTCAACCCCCCGCCGTTTGCTTTATGAACAACCAAATCTTATAAACCATCAGCACGTGCAGACGCCCTTGTTAGTTTTTTGATCATATCTTCCGACACCTGAGTTGCCTGGGACCATTCTGAAACAGGCGCGCATTCGCTCAGCTTTCTCCCGGGCCACTGAAGCTGATTCCTCAGTTGCTGCGCCCTGGCAGAAAGCTGGCTGGCGGCAGAACCGATTGCTGGCGGTGCAGCTGGAGTGCGGAGGGATGGTTCCGCATGGGATGCGTGGTGTCCAGATTTGCGTGTACATACAAATAGTTATAGTTATCTAACATGTACAACATTGATCAACATCGTGCAACATACGCATAGACTAGGTTGAGGAAAGAAGAAGATAAGGCCATCTATACAGGAGGCCCTACCTTCTGTTTTCTCCTCGCTTTTGCACAATACTTTTACACAATACTGTGAGAGCAGACATTGTCGAATCAACACCTTTTGATCAAATCAGATTCGCAAAACGTCCGTCTTTGAAGGAGACCTCCAGCGGGCGGAGATTTGTCGTCGCCACATACCACATGCCTTGCTTGTTTGAGGAGCCGGTGAACAGGCATGCATCGTCGCTGTTTTCTTTTTCCCATGCAACTGGAATTTCAAGGTTGACTAATCAAGTATATACTAGTAAATAGGGGTCTGATTGCAGCAGTGGCCCAGAGTGGCCCGACGGTGTAATGAAGTAGATGTGTTTTGAGTTTTAAGTGATGGCATCCGTGCATGTCACGATGCAATTGGCTGCTGCACTGGCGTCGTAGAGACTGCAGATCCAAACCCGTTTACTTGTGAACCGGCTGCATCACTGTGGACCAAAGAAGCATGCCATGGACTTCTTCAGATGCCAGGGATTTGTCACAGTTCATCCAAACGTTGCAGGCAAGCAAAGGCCATCCACTGCGCTCTACTGCGGAATGCACTGAAGAACAGTTTTCCTGATGATCCGCTGGTGCTGGCGGGTGATTTCAATACCAAACCTAAGGAGAGAGGTTCATCAAAGTTATGTTTAATGAGTTTGCAAACTGAAACCATCCAAAACAGATTAAAAGACATGCTGCCTAACTTTACGTATTCATATTGCACTGTATTTCCATATGAGTGCCAGGACAACTTTTCTCAGCGCGCATATTTGGTCTATATAATTAGTTGCATGGTCACCGAGTTTAGTGTCAGGACTCAGAGCTGCAGCTCTTGCAACAGGGGCAGCTAGATCCCGAGGAGCCAAGATCTTGCCACATGTGGAGAAGCTGATAGATGGCCCAACTTGGAAAGAACTGAGAGACTGTAAGGGCTGGTTGAAGAACTGATTGTTGTTTTTCATCTGATCAACTTTCTGTGTTGAAGGAAATCATGCTGAAGTCAGTTTCTTCTGAGGGAACATCGTCGGTCGCTTCCCAGGATGTTGCTTTTCCAGAGGCATTTGAGGATTTAGAGATGCAGAGATTTCTGAAAGTGACTTGGACACGGAAGATATGCTTTATATATATATACACATGTTTTAATATGAGGGAGACGAGGAAGGAACGGCATATACAAGATGTTGCTTTGATAGATTGGATGGCAGTGATGCCTAGGAAAAGAACCACGTGTGCAGATGACTGGCCCTGACAATTTCAACGAGGTAGTCAACCAACTTACTAGTAGTCCCATTGCCAATTTGTCTCACTAGTCTAGGAACATGAAGTCTAGAGGAGTCCACTGTTAGGCATTTTCAGTTTGATAATTTGTTTCATCCAATAGCTGGGTTCCGTTGCTTTCCAAGAACAACTTGGACCTTCACTTGCGCAGTGCCTACGCTGAGCATTTGGGAAGTGAACCCGTGCCTTGGTTTGAAAGAAGGAATGCGAAGGAGAGGCATGAAGCACCCTTTGCCATGCAACCGGACCCTACGTCACGACAGAGAATATTGCCTAGTTGGTTTGTCCACTTGGTCGTGTAGGACAGCTATTCTTCTTACCGGAAGGATGAAGACTTGGTCTCATTGCTTCGGACCTTGCGCAGAGAAGCACCTTTTTGCGCCATGCGGACATGCCTCAAGGCCCGGCCGAGCAGGCCCGGCCGAGCCTGAGACCCGTTCGAGCTGCTGAGGAGTTCACAAACTATGCCTGGATCAAAGACCGCAGGGTTGCTCAGTTCTCCGAAAGACAGCGGGTTTTTTGCTGATCATTGCAGCTCCTGAATTGCAAGGCTGTTCTTGTTCAAACATCAATTCTGTTCACAAGCTCTTCTTAGTTTGATTGCACTTAAAGGAGTCATGGGTTGTGAATGTGTTTGGCTCTCTTGTGGATCTATAGGAAAACACATTTGCTTGAAGGCTTTCGTTCATGGCAAGTTGTTTGTCGGGTGTCATGATCCATTCTCTTGCTTACGTGGTCCAGCCAGGCTCGTGCCGCAGTGGTGGAATGAGGAACCACAAACACATCTTTTTCTCTTGGCATTGGACTGAGGAAACGAGACCTTTCGGGAGACCTTGGATTACATCCTGGTATCATCACACATCCAGGCAAGCATTCATGTGATATTGCGTGTTTACCCGTTGAGGCTCATCGTCAGCTGGCTTGTTTTCGGTAGATTGTGCTGGAGACAGCGTTCTGTCCTACAGTGGGACATGATTGAACTACGCCCATAGGCCCATAGGACATGCTGCAGGCTGCAGGTTTCCGAGGGTGGCTGTATAGGACATTGTGATTGTTTTGCTACAGGCGAACTTGGAGATTGTTTGGTTTTTTCTGGTTTGTGCCTGATATCTTGCTTTGTAGCCTTCCTAAGTGCCTCCTGGCATCGGCATTGGACCATGTAGATGAAAAACGGTGGATTGGTGTGGATTGCAACGCCAACAACTTCCCAGGCCACCTCAAGTTTCAGGCATTTTAACAGTATATAGTGATAGTGTCCATCCAGAGCCTCGGTCATCTCCGATCACCGGTCATCCCTTGCTACTAGTAGCGATGCATTTGTTACTGTACTAGTAGCTTCTTGCTCCTAGTAGTAAGGCCAGGAGCGCCCCTAGTAGCGTCCTTGCTCCGTTCGTAGCTTCGCAGTTTCCGCAGGTGATGGATGTTTTGGACGTCCCAGACACGAAGCTGGGAGATCCGGTGTTTCCAACTGCCGAGCCACTCGCAGAACGATTCAGACACGGCTGCCCAACAGACACTGGAGGTTCAATCATTTCTTTAAGCAAATATGTGCCATGTATATTCATTGGTTTTGCCTCGGGGACGCCTTGCAGAGCATAGCTGAGCATACCTCCTTTTTGGGCGTAGTTGGCCTCCAACCTGGAAGCGATGGCGTCCAACCTAGCACCCCTCCAACCTAATAGCACTGGCCTCCAACCTACTAGCGATGGCCTCCAACCTCATAGATGGAAGGGTGGGAGGAAAAGAAACAGTGGATGCAAATTCTGAAGCACAGTCACACAGTCACTGATGGGACCACTGTGGCCACTGTTTCTTTTTTTTCCGGTTGGAGGTTCCACAACTCCTGTCTCATGATATTTTTGCAGAGGTCTTGCATTCTAGCTGACTTGTTGGTGGGCGCTGCCCATCAACAGGGACAAGCCAAAAACATACAAAGCATACATACCTCATCAATCCTCATCTCATCATTCCTCCAGATTCCACCGATCAAGGTGCATTGGACTTTTGGTGTTGGAGAATCCAAGGCAGCCATCTGACCATGTGCTTTTGGCCGCTGACCTTGATTTGGGAATGAGGCGCCATCACATGTCACTACAACTTTGATTCTGTAGAATCGCTTGTTGGTGCAGATTGGCTTGGTGGTGTTTGTTGTTGTTTTCTAACCTTCTTTGTGCCAATGTCATTCTTCAAGCCCTACTATTGCCTATTGCTTTTGCTTCTGGATTCCTCCTCTAATCTTAGGAAAGCTTTGGTCCGTTGGCTCTTGTATAACATCCACAACACCTGAGCTCCCCTCTGAGAATTAGATACAGTATTTGGTGGATAGCCAAGTTTGCGAACAGGCCCTCAAGCCTAAACAGATTCATCACCCAAGAGATGCAAATTCCTCCTGCAGGAGTCGTCCTGTAGCTGGATTGCTGCGACGGAGGCTTGCCAGAAGCAGGACCCTGGTCCACTCATTAACATAGTACTGGACGATTCTTGCCTATTCGACACCGGCATTTGACAAGCCGATTCTACCCAGCCATGTTTGAACGCTTGTTGGACTACCATGTGAACTTGTGGACCCATGGCCGCCATGACCTTTGCCAGGGGGCATTGAGATAAGAAAGACAAGCTGAAGGGTTTGAAGTCAGAGAGAAAGACTACAAGGCAAATCAAATCAATATTGTTTTCCTGCAAACTACTGTACCACCGTGTGTTCAGTGTTCAAGTGCTGCCAAGAGTCAAAGCGTTTGGTAGTTCCGTCAAAAAGGAAGACTTAACTTATGAGCTCATATCAGCTCCTGTCACCAGGAGTGATGAGAAGCAGCTGCCAGATGAGTAGCACTAGGGAGGAAAAGGTTGCCCAAATGAGAGAGCATGCATGACTGGACGACCAGATGTCAGATGACCCGATCTCAATGGCTTGCAGGCAAACATCTTGTGGCCGACTGTCAGCAGCGTCTCGAAAAGACAGCAAAGGCATGACTGTAAAGGGTTTCCTTGCAAGTGTGATTGTCGGAGGGAAGATTATATTTACTACTTACTAGTACTTATTTGGTTCTTGAGGATGTAGTTTTGAAGTCAAGCAGAGTCAACATAGATGTTTGTTTGGTTTACACCAATCCCCACGAATTGGGTAAGGGATGAGCGAGTGTGAGTGTCAGTGGGGACTGAAATCAATTCATGCGGTCAGCAGCTGGACCAAGATGATGGAGCCAGCACGTTTGAGAAGCACATGTTTCATGACCAAATGCATTGTTGGTTAATCTGTTTCAAAAACGTTCCAAGAGTTTCCTGCGCAAGATATTGTTTGCAAAAAGGTAAAATCGGTCTTCATGACAGCCCGGTTGTATTCATGACATGGCCTCTCGAGTGAGTGGCTTGACATCAAGCCTCGTTGGCTGGTCTCTCCTTGTTGGCAGGCTTGCCGTCGTTTCAAAGTCCTCAAGTTGTGACAAGTCCGCAAACGGCAGATTCCTAACCAACTAAACAACCCCATGCGGACAGTTGGATGCACAAGTGTAGTCAGTAGACCGGTTCTTGCTTTGAGACTTTACTATTCGACAAGTAAAAGACCTTGCATAATAATTCTGAACCGGGCGTCTTGCCTGTTATTCTGTTTAGCCAGGAATTGAATAAGAGTGTCGCACAATTTCATTGGACAGTGCCATCATGCTGCATGGGTGCTATGGCCAGCTGGCCTCCGGTGGTGGGCTTAGTCCTCATTTGAAAGGGCAGGAAGCAAGCTGACGAGCGCCTTACAATCTTACAAGATTTCAAAGTATTTTTGTTTGTCAATAGATGTTTGTCATTTGATTCAGAGATGGTTGGACAGGCACTTGAGTATATATTATATATATAATACAAATATTTAGTACTATGGGTCCAAGGTGTTGCTCATCCCAACACACCCTCCTGCCAGCTACTCACTTTGTTTGCAGTTTGAACATGCTGCCAATGCATATTCACAGAACGGCGCGAATTCCCTCCAAGTACTGCAAAGACGCAAGAACACTCAGAGGGGTGAAAAGCCGAGTTGAGACTGAGATACCTCAGATTCTCGGCAAATCTTGCCGTGAACATCCATGGACCCAGAGGTTAATGACAATTGTGCTGCGCAGTGCAGTTTCAAGGAGCCCATTGGCCACATATGAAGCCTCTTTCCAAAGGAGGTTCATAGGTCATTTAGGCCAGAGGTTCCAGGTTCATTTCGCTCGTGACTCGTGTGTTGCCGCCCGACTCACCCCGTCGAGGCTTGGAGCCTTCGGAACCTCCGAGAGTTGCCATGGCCCGAAGGCCTGGTGACGCTGCAAACCTCCATCGAAAGGCCTGGTGACGCCGCCCTGCAGCGCATGCTGCCTTGCAGTGCATGTGCTAAGGGTGGGAGAGACAAAGAGAGAGCGGGTGCCGAACGTTCTTCTGAGCACCAATGTGACTTCTGGTTGACGGGAGATTCTGGCCTTACTTGCGCTTTCCTTAAACTTATCTTTGAGGCGTGCCCCGCCCGATGTCGTGGATTGCACCTCTTTGCTTCGTGCCATGCGTGGCACCAAGCCTGGCGCTGCAGCCGCGCCAGCGACAGCCTTGCAGATGCTTGAGGACATGGTCCATCGCTTCCAACTGCGTGCTCTTGAAGCAAACCCAGTGGGAAAAGAGAAAGTATGATCAAATTGTGTCCCAGGTCCCAGAACACACATCTATATATATAATTACACTAATTTTCTGAGTGGATTTGATGAAGGGCCAAATATTTGTGGAGTTGTGGCTGGCCATCACTGTGGAGGGAAGGACGTACTGATGACAGTCGCAGCCACGGCTACTTGAGGCCCAGACACAATGGCCTTCAACACCGCGCTGAGCACAGTGGCAGAGACTAGCTGGCAGCTTGTCACATGGCTGCTGCAAGAGAATTTTATTGTAGATCCCACGTAAGCCTGCTCAAATGTTGCAAAGAAGCCGGCCTCCTGAAATTTTGTCATTCAGCTAGCTCGATTCAACAGCTTTCCAGCTGCAAAAATCCTGGGCATTGCTGTTTCATCCTAAGGTCAAAGCCAGACAGCAGACAGTTCCCCAGACCCCTTATTCAATCCAAGCAGTGTTGCATCCAGCAAAGCTGGCCATTTTGTTTTGTATGTTCTATTTCTTCTGAACCTTTCTGAAGCCTTGTCTCCCTCCCAGGCATTGGACCTCTTTGCCTCAGTTCACTCTCGTCAGCTACAGCCGGACGTCTCCTCCCTCGGTTGCAACTGCCCGACCTTGTTGTGGTGGATGGTGCCGAATTTAATCATTGCAATGGGTTTCTGGGTTTCCGAGAGCTCCGCATTACCTTGCACAGTCCAAGAAGTGAAGAAGTTTCACTGTACTGGTTTCAGCTAGGGTATCGATGAGTACGTTTCTCCACCTGTGCAATTGAGGTCATCACCTTTGCTACCATCGTCGGCTCCTGCAGCAATGCCTTGATGTGGCAGCAGGTGGGTTGAAAGACTCAGAATGGACCAGACAGAGTCTCCATAATGGCATACATTTTGCCGAACCACTTTTCAGGGCTTTGGTCCTTTCGATGCTGTTTTGCCAGAGAACTGCAGCTTCGGAGTTTCCAAGCAGTGGTTCAAAAAGATGTTACCGTACTGTAGGTGTTGTGTTATTTTAATGTCCCTCAGCCAGCAACATTGACCTTCTAATTCAATCAGCGGCTGACCCTCCCCTCACAGCCGTCATAACATCAGCTCAGGTAAGAAGCAGGTAAGAAGTTAGAAGCCTAGATAGCCCCTGCTCCCCTGCACTGGTGAATCTCCACGATTTGCACACTGATGCCGCTGCCCAGAAGCTGCTGTTTTCCTCAGCCATGCCATGTGGCCATGAATGTGCTTTGAGTACGAGCGAGGACTTCAGACGAACGGTACTAGTAAGTAGTAATGCCCTTGTTTCCTAGTAGCGATGCACTTGTTCCTAGTAGCAATGCACTTGTTCCTAGTA